CACCCATCCTATTCAGTCTGATGATCTCTGTCACTTTGATGGACGCAACTCATGAGGAGCGGCCAGGAATCGACACCAACTACCGAAATGGCAGAAAACTAAACAATGTTCGGCACCTTAAAGCGTCGTCGAGGGTATCCAAGGCCAGCAACCACGACCTACTTCTCGCGGATAATTGCACGCTAAATAACACAACGGAAAGGGATATGCGGAGAAGCGTGGACTACTTCATTTCCGTTGGCTCGAACTTCAAATTGATCATAAACATAGAACAGCTGGTAGTCACGGTAGTACTAATCGGTGCCCAACGCGGAGAACAAGGAAATCCATATCAATGCTGATGGCATCAGCTTCTAGCAGTTGAAAAATACGCATACTATAAAAGTACAACTTCAAGAAATGTGAAAACCGAAGACGAAGTGGTCCATCGGATCAGTCTGCTCAATCAGTCCCTCAGTCTGGAACCACCATGGACTTCAACCTAACTTGAACCTCAAAAACAACCTGGCAGTAGTTATGACGACGTTGTACTACGGGACAGAGAAAATAAATGCCAACTTAATCGCTTCGACCTCATCCGACTCGAGATAATAATAAAGCGGAGGTGGTGAGGCAGGGCAGCCTACACGGAAGTCGTGGAACGAACCGGCGTCCATAGCCTTCACACCAACTACGACGAAGCGGCCATTTCATAAGGATGGACGACGACCTTTTACCTCTGCGGCTATTTAATGTCGACAATGCAATAAATACCTGCCAACACAGAGGATCGAAATGACATTGCGAGAACATGATCTGACTTTGTCGCGCTTTCCATCTTCCACTCCATACCAAGCATGAAATAACGTGATCGCAAGCCACTCTTTGCCTCTGGGACAGCAAATCACAGGTGCCGCAAACTGCACCAACGCTCAAAGTCTCGTGATCTCTAGTAAGTTCGAAAACACCAGCGCCTGCCACCCCCAATCCGTCTGGCCAATAACCTTTAAGGCTGATTCACACAACGACCGCTTTCTAGATGCTTATGACGATTCCCGCGTACATATACTTCGGACACTTCCTTGTTCGCGTGCAGACCTACGCTCGCCCGACCGTCTACTCTCTCTCTCTCACCTATTCTCTGATTCCTCTGTACAGGATACACTAATCCTTAAATCTGGCGTCTCCCATCTTCTCTTACCACACGGAGCCGGGACTGAAGATCACAACGACAAGGGTTTTTACCTATTAACTCGACTTCCTGTGATAAGTACACCTCAAAAACCCATAAATAAACAACAGATTGACTGGGAGACCTAGGAGGACCTGGCCCTGAAAAAGCGCTGATGCCTGAAGCAGCAATCTACGAAGCCAGCTGGATTGCCGCTGTCAAAAGCGAGAGAGCGACTGGCGTGTCTCAAGCGCCTTCGACGCTAACTTCGACGCCAACTTCCTTTGGGTCCTCGTTGTCAAGTGGTATTCAGCTCACAAATCAGTCTCGTCGGACCCAATGTAACGAGATGACAGATCCACCAAATTACGCCCACTAACGCCCCCCATCCTCACCCCACCTACCCCACGACGACCACCCACTTCCATCAATGGTGAGAAAACTTCCGACTTCCCGCCAGCGCCCACCCTCATCATCATCGCCATCTTCGCATCTTCACATCTCTCGCGAATTCACCGCACTAAGACTGGCGAATCAGTGGCAGGAACACAAGTCTACTGACCGCATCAACCACACATACAGGGTTGTTATATTGATGATCGTGCAGACTGATCCCAAGATATTTCAGTTACGCCATGATTCTCGTATTTGAATGAGCTTCTTTCTGATCGCCTGCAAAAGACATACTGTATACAGTTTGCCTAAGGAAAAGTGGATATTTCCCTACAATGTGCGGAAAAGGGTCAGACATTTCTTCTCAACATTTGCAATGGATGTCGAATGCTTTATAGACAGCAACAATAACCTGCGGGAACTATGCATTATGAATGAACACTCTACGTTCATAATAAATGCCATAAGTAGAAACTTCTACAACCGAAAAGTAGCCTTACTTTCAGTTGAAAATTTTAAGAAAACCTAATTTGCTACCAACTGAAAAACAATCGTTTTGTGCACGTTTGCCAAAAAATATATTACAATCTATAAGTGCATTGGAAAACAAGAAAAGAAAGCGTGCTACTTAAATTGCCGTTTTTTATGGAGGAAGCTTTTTGCAGGCGATGAGAAACAAGCTCGCTCAAAAATCGGTATCTTGGTGTGAATAACATATTTTGGGGTTAGGCTGCAGGTTACCTTTGGATCAGGCTGTACGATAATCGATATAACAGCCTGACTTAATTACCTGGTTCGAATCGGGAACAGATTTCAGAATTTTGGTCGACTTTTCATGAGATAGGGAGGCTAATGTACGAATGAAAGAGAACGTTCGCTTTCCAGGTATTTGTTTCGGTAAAGAAGACAAATGATCGAACACAAATCGTTCCGGTGTCCGACCACCTTGCTTCTCTACCGAAGCTTATGTACATCACACACCAGCCCGCCCTACGTCACCCTTCGCAGACTTGGAAGAGTCATTTCTTACAAAAGTACGAAGCTTGTTTTTGACTCCTTTTCACTCCCGAGGACCCACTAGTCAACACCGTCCCAACCGCTAGCAGCGTAGGCGCGATCTCAACCTTCCTTCAGTAGGATCGTATCTTTGCATCACACCTCGGCCTGGTCCATCACTCAGACACTGGCAAACGGGTACCACATGCGTCAAAATACATTCGCCACCTTCATCTTGGTTGACTGAACTACCTATGAACATTCTATCAGCGCATATGCCCATTCCGGTTTATGCGTATCCATGGAAAACTGAGATAAAATACCGACGGACAAACGGCACCATCACACACCACCACATTCTCAACAGCACCCATGAAAGGCACGGAAACGACACCTTCCATCCTAAAAATGTGAAAGCTTTTGCCGTTATGGTACTCCAGCGCAGGTGGGATCTGAGCAGCCGACCCTTATTTCATGAGTACCTGATGCGTTGTAGGGGATGCCAGGTCACTTGTAGCATGCGTAGATAGATTTCTACGGTTAGATCAGCCAACAGCGTCCAAAGTTCGCTATAGATGGCTGTCAAGGTTTAAAAGTTCACTTATGTCTGGGAGATGAAAGACCCTCGGAACAGCGCTCCCATGGCATGCAAAGCATACTTCTCACTATAAACAATCTGACGCGCTTGAATCAATAGGGATGCGCTAAAACCAATGGCCCCAAGGGCTGCCAGTGGACAGGATAACTCTTTCCGCATCCTGGGTCGGAGAGTGAGACTGCAATCGCCCCTCTAAGGACAGAGAAGGTTCTCTCTTAATCCACAGTGCTTCCACTCTGTTGGGATCCCAGCCGCC